GGCTGATTTTTTGATTAATTGTAGAGATGAGGTCTCGCTGCCCAGGCGGGTCTCGAACCCCCGGGCTCAGGCAATCCACTCACCTCAGCCTTTTCCCAGTGAAGTTTCAAGCCTGATATGGTCTATGCATTATGTTCTACCACATATTGACATGATTTATGCCCATTTTATAGATGAGCAAACAGGCTCAAGGAGCTTAGAAGACTGGCTCAAGGTCATAGAGATCCAGGGGAAAATTACCATCAGGATTCAAACCCTGCTCTGTGGTTCCCAGGTTCATGCTGTGTACACCATGCTCTGCTGCCTGTGGGAACTGGGCTGAAGAACAGGAAGGTTCACTGTCTGTTGTTTTGTGACTCCAGACTAAAATCCCAGACACAGCTGGGCTTGGTGGCTCAGCCTGTAATCCCGTGCTTTGGGAGGCTGAGGTGAGTGGATTGCCTGAGCCTGTGGGTTTGAGACCCACCTGGGCAACTTGGCGAGACCTCATCTCCCCAATAAATCAGAAATTAGCTGGGCGAGGTAGCGCATGCCTGTAATTCTGGCTACTCTTGGAAGGCTGAGGCGGAAGGATCGCTGGAGCCCAGAAGGTCAATGCTGTGGTGGCCGGGAGCGGCCACTACACTCTAGTCTGGGTGACAGAATGAGACTCCAACTCAAAAAAAAAATAAAATAAAATCCCAGACACACATGTCTGCAAAGTGAGTTGGGGGAACAAACCTCTGACATTTCTGGTCTTCCATGAGAAAGGTGAACTCTGCTACCTTTGAATCTCAAGGTGGGTATGGTGACTGGAATGCGTCCCTGTAGCTAAGCTAGAACTACACTTCCCAGGATTTCCTTCCCCTGCATGTTCAAGGTTAGCCCTGACAGCAAAACATTTCCTGAGACTGGAAAGCAGACGTAAAATGTACGTTGTGAAGGTCGGCGCAAGATGTCAGAGCAAGGCAACTTCTGTGTGTGTTGCTGATCTGCAGCTCATGGCCTGCAGCTCCTGCAGGGCACAGATAGGTGACACAGCACAGGTGGGTGCTGCTGTGTACCTTGCCCACAGCCATGATTCCCATGACTTCAAGGTCAGAATGGTGACATGGGTTTCACTGTGTACTTGCTCCTGCCCACGCCCAGTCTTCCTCCCCAACACCTGCCTGGCTGACTTGTGGGGACTCCAGACTCCACAGAGAAGCAGGGTACAGGATGCATGGCCTTCCCCACCAGTGCTCCACCTGGGCCCATGGAAATCCTGCTTAGTCACATGGATGGTTCCATCCTGAGACAGGGACACAGGACACAGAAAGGGCAACCTTGCTGTGGAGAGCAGAGCAGGGTGGTCACTCCCTGGACATCCTGGAAAGCAGGTATCTCCCTCATTGTGCGCTGGAATGTCAACTTCACCAATGAACATAGGGTTCTGAAAGTCAGTTCTAATGCTTACGGGCTGACTTGGGCAACTCCCTTCATGCCGTGGAGCCTCCCTTTCCTTCATGTGCAAAAAGTAGACAGTACTGACCTACGTGTTGTAATAACTCCCTTCCCACCCTTCTTTCCTCCCCAGCCCTCCTGCCCCTCCTCCTCTTTCTCCCTTTCTCCTTCCATGTTTAACTGGTTCTTCTTGCACACAAGACTAAGAATCCTGACAGATACAGTAACCAGTGTAAGGAATTAATGAGTGAGTGTAGCAAATTCTTAGAATTTGATGTTCCCTTCATTCCTTTTTGGATATGTTAGGTTTCCCTGTACCAGAAGCAGGGGATGGTCACAGCTTCCAGTTCTCCACCTCCTCCATGTTCCTCAATGTGGCTTCCTGGGAGGCGGTCCATGGAACAGCTGGATACAACCTACTTGACTCTGTCCAGCGACCCCTCCCCACACCCTGCATGGACTGGGCAGATATACCACAGTGCACCTCTCAGTGACAGCATGACCCCCATGGAACTCATGCCTGCTTGTTCCAAACCCAGCAATTCGAACTTCCTGTGGGAAACCTGCTTGGGTAACACACACACTCTCTGTTTCTCTCTTTCTGTTTCTGTCTCTGTCTCTCTTTCTGTCTCGTCTTTGTCTCTTTCTGTCTCTCTGTCTCTGTCTCTCTATTTCTCTCTCTCTCTGTGTCTCTGTCTGTTTCTCTCTGTCTCTCTGTCTCTATCTCTCTCTCCACCCTGCCCCTGGACTTCACACCAGCCCTTGTGGTCACTGCTTTTCTCTCATGGATCTGCTTTTCTCTCGTGGACACTGCTTCTGTTATTTCATGGTTTTCCCTGTGCTGCCTCCTCTGTGTCTCACCTGATCCACAACCCAAACTGAACTCTTCTTCTGGTCAGGGCTCTCCTAGATAGTGGCTATCTTGGTAGGAATAAGCTCAACACAGGTCAGACATGAGCCACAAGGGTGCCAGCCATATAAACAAGTTTTCTATGAGAGGGATGCCTGGTCACAGGCATTAGGCCATCTTCTAGGATAAGCAAGCATCCCGTGAAGGGCAGCTGTCACCACCCACAACCACCTCCCTTGGAGCCCAGCCAGGCAGGACTAGAGTTTATCACCCCTCTCCAGAGTCAGATCTCAAAACCAATTAGAGAAAAATCACAATGAGATAATGTAAAACACCTAGGACAAAGCAAGTCCTTATGGGGGAGGGGAGGGAGGGAATTAGGACTTTGTTTCCTGCTTTTTTTTTTTTTTTTTTGAGTCGGAGTCTCACTCTGTCGCCCAGACTGGAGTGCAGTGGCCGCTCCCGGCCACCGCAGCCTCGACCCAATGGGCTCCGGCGATCCTTCCGCCTCAGCCTTCCGAGTAGCTGGAACTACAGGCACGCGCTACCACGCCCGGCCCATTTTTTGATTTATTGTAGAGATGAGGTCTCGCCAAGTTGCCCAGGCGGGTCTCGAATGTTTCCTGCTTATTTACGGGATAAGAGGGTCAACAGGAGATGGCATGTCACTCTGAGGTGGCCTTGGAGATAGAAAATTACCTTTTAAAAAAAATCACACTATGTGAACATATTCCCAGTAGAAAGCTATAAAAACAGCAGTAAGAAAACCCAAAGTCTCAGCCAGACGTGGTGGTTCATGCTTGTAATCCCAGCACTTTAGGAGGGGGAGGCGAGAGGATTGCCTGAGTTCAGGGGTTCGAGACCAGCCTGGGCAATTTGGTGTGACCTTATCTGTACAATAAATCAAAGAATAAGCCAGGCATGGAGGCACGCATCTATGGTTCCAGCTATTTGGAAGGCTGAGGCGGAAAGATCACCTGAGCCCAGCAGGTCAAGGATGCAGTAGCTGAGAGCATGCCACTGCACTCCAACCTGGATGACAGTGAGATTCCAATTCAAAAAAAAGAAAGAAGGAAGGAAAAGAAAATCACTCATTCCTGAAAC